AAATCGTCATGAATCGAATTTTCGCGAGTGTGTGTGTGTGTGTGTGTGTGTGTGTGAATGTGAAGATAACAACGTTCTGATGATGACAATTAGAGAGGAGGAGGAGTGCTTGGAGGCATCGGGCGATAGCGGAGCAACTTTGGAGTAAGTATAATTTAATATTTATATTTTCTTTTTAATTGCACACGCGATTAAATGGTCCTATTTTTCCTTATTAGATTTATTTATTTGATTTAAATCAAATTAAGAGAAAAAGATCTTTACGCATCTTTTTTATAAAAGTTTATATTTAAGGGAAATAATTTTTATTTTAAAATATGTTAAATATATAATAATATATCTGTTTATTATATTATACGTATCAAATTTTATACTCAAAGTGTACAATTATAATATAATAATTATAATACAATTATAATTATTTGAAAATATTAATTGATTTTTACGCGTTTTTATATAATTTTGATCTTTGTATGTTACAGATTACAGTAAGTTTCAACGTAATTAACTTCGCTGTTACATATCGATCATCATCGGTGAGTCAGAAATTCTTATTTATTTTTTTGATCGACTTTGTTGAATATATTTTATATATTCTATTTATTAATGCTTATTAAAATTCTCTCTTATATGACGCATACGCACATTATAATATATATTTTATATTTCCTAACGTATAATACAGTCATAAAAAGTGTAGAGAAATAGGGGCTACAATTTCTAGTCTCAGCAACAACCCTTACAACAAATTTGTTGAATATAGTTCATATATTCTATTTATTAAGGTTTATTAAAATTCTTTCTTATATGACGCATACTCACAATATAATATATATTTTATATTTCCTGACGTATAATAAAATTGTAAAAATGTAGAAAAATAGAAACTACAATTTCAAGATAGAAAATGTTAAATCAGTATCAGTTTAGTAAATTCGAATTCTTTTATAAACCCGTAAAACTGGCATCGTTTTTGTCGAGTAAATTTTAGAAATCGGCTGGCTCGCTAATTTCCGTATTGCTCGAGTTATCAGTTTTCAAGAATCGTTCGTCTCGACGAAATTGTGTGTCTCGAATAGTACACACATGCACATACACATAAACGCGTCTTGGATGCTCGTCGTGCATGTGTTCTTTTCCACGACGCAAGTCTAGGGTGAAGTGAGGGCGAAAGCTCGGGCTTCGTCAGGATCGTCAGTTTTTTGTGCCTGTTCAAGCCTGTTGCACGGACATTTTTAAACGTGTTTTCGATGAGATTTTAATACGTACGACGTAAGAAATAAATTCATCACATTCGATTATTCTTTTCATTGAATTGTGATTAATTAATTTCTTACGTCTTACATCTTAAATTCCCATTGTAGATGCCTCTTTAACAAAAATCGGTCGTTGCGTGTAGACAAAAATTAACGCGAAGTATCACGTCGGCGATTATATTAAAAGAATTATTGCGACGAAAATTTTGAGAAATGTCGAAGTATCGTGTATTTTAATTCGTCGTATATACATACGAGGTGATAGTAATTAGCCTTTCGGGAATTGGCGAGTATATAAGTACGTGTCGGAAGTGACCAATGAAGCGTCCAACGATCCGGCTATCGTGTTAATTAGTGAACGCGATCGTAATTATGTAATTTTCTGATCGATTCAAAATTCGTGTGAGTGTTCTTCATGTGAGAAGCTGAGCTCATATTAAACATCGATAAGGATATAAGCGATAAGGATTAAGAGCTTGGATATAAACGACACCTTTGATGTCAACGACTGTTGAGTCTATTTTTCTTGTTATTTATTTTATGTGAATAATTGACATCGCGCGAATTTTGTTCAATCCATTTGAAACAAAACTTTAAAAATCTAACAATTTAATCGAATAAAACATGCAATTCTCTTTGATCTTGCACATACATATGTATAAAATTTCGATTATATTATTTAAAGAATACTTTAGTTTGTTTAAAAATATAATGATTGGTTTTGTAAAATTGAACTTGATTGACACTCTTTTAGTTCTTTTTCAAAAATTTCGAAAGTTTGAAAAATAAATCAATAATCTCACAGAAATAAATAAAAGTAACATTTTTGAGAATTGAAAAAGTGTTGTATTATAAATGGATTGAGCAAATTTCGAGAGTATGCAAACTGATTTAGTTAATTTTTAATTTGCAATGATTCGCGATCCACAATTTATTCAATCGATAGCATTATTTGACACACTGCAAAGTTATAATTAACATATAAGAGTTTTAACAAGGCTCTGTAATATAAATATAAATTTAACGTATAAGACGGGCAACAAGAGCCAAATCGCGGATGACAATGCGTTATCCTAACGAAACTAAATAATTTTCCGTTAGAATTAAATACCGGTGCACAAGGCACCAAATTTTACTTGGACACGGCCAAGATTTTAAAATATGAAATAATCTCATATTTGAGATTTAATTTCAATACCCCCTTTAACCCCCCTACGGAAAATAAATAAATGAATGCAAGAGAAAAATATAGATCCGAAAATCGCTGAATCGGGAATCGAACCCGAGACCTTTCGCTTGCCGGGCGACTGCTCTTCCAGCTGAGCTATTCAGATCCTTTCGATTCTATACTTTTCTCTGTTATATATATTAATGTTGGTAAACAAACGCATTTTTAAGCCAGCGTGTATCAATATAAGAGTTTTAACAAGGCTCTGTAATATAAATATAAATTTAACGTATAAGACGGGCAACAAGAGCCAAATCGCGGATGACAATGCGTTATCCTAACGAAACTAAATAATTTTCCGAAAATTATTTAGTTTCGTTAGGATAACGCATTGTCATCCGCGATTTGGCTCTTGTTGCCCGTCTTATACGTTAAATTTATATTTATATTACAGAGCCTTGTTAAAACTCTTATATTGATACACGCTGGCTTAAAAATGCGTTTGTTTACCAACATTAATATATATAACAGAGAAAAGTATAGAATCGAAAGGATCTGAATAGCTCAGCTGGAAGAGCAGTCGCCCGGCAAGCGAAAAGTCTCGGGTTCGATTCCCGATTCAGCGATTTTCGGATCTATATTTTTCTCTTGCATTCATTTATTTATTTTCCGTAGGGGGGTTAAAGGGGTATTGAAATTAAATCTCAAATATGAGATTATTTCATATTTTAAAATCTTGGCCGTGTCCAAGTAAAATTTGGTGCCTTGTGCACCGGTATTTAATTCTAACGGAAAATTATTTAGTTTCGTTAGGATAACGCATTGTCATCCGCGATTTGGCTCTTGTTGCCCGTCTTATACGTTAAATTTATATTTATATTACAGAGCCTTGTTAAAACTCTTATATTGATACACGCTGGCTTAAAAATGCGTTTGTTTACCAACATTAATATATATAACAGAGAAAAGTATAGAATCGAAAGGATCTGAATAGCTCAGCTGGAAGAGCAGTCGCCCGGCAAGCGAAAAGTCTCGGGTTCGATTCCCGATTCAGCGATTTTCGGATCTATATTTTTCTCTTGCATTCATTTATTTATTTTCCGTAGGGGGTTAAAGGGGGTATTGAAATTAAATCTCAAATATGAGATTATTTCATATTTTAAAATCTTGGCCGTGTCCAAGTAAAATTTGGTGCCTTGTGCACCGGTATTTAATTCTAACGGAAAATTATTTAGTTTCGTTAGGATAACGCATTGTCATCCGCGATTTGGCTCTTGTTGCCCGTCTTATACGTTAAATTTATATAATTAACATAGTTATTCCATTTTAACAAAGCTTTTGTCATTAATATTTGCGTAGTGAATGACTTCAGCCATCTGATTTTCGAATATATTCAACGTGACCCTATAATAGGGTATTGGAATAAAAATATTTAAAAAAAATTTGTTGGCATAAATTTATTGAAAAGATTTGCAATATTAATAATTTAATAACGAAATAAAATTTTACAAAATAATAAATAGATATTTATCCTTCCATAATTTAAATATAATCCGCGAAAAAGTAAAAAAATACAGATATAAAATAATAATATGAAGTTATAAAATTATATAAAATTAAATATAATATAGATATAAAATTAAATTTAAAGAAATAATTTGAGAGAGAAAAAATTAATTTTTTCGCGTAGCATAATATTAATTTTTAACAATAAATTAATTTTTCCGACTTTGATAGAAAAAATTCTTTCGATATTTGTCACATGCGACAAAATTCTTAATTTTCTCCATTATCTATAGTAGTCTATCTTGTCTATAATGTATACAGTATTGTAGATTTGAGATTATCAACGATCGTATTAAACTTGATCTCGTATCAGGAGAACTAAGGCCATTATAGGCAGTCGATTGACGATGCACAGGCGATCAGCTGATCGCATAGTCATGTGTTCGCGACGCGTAACTGACCTGTCTCTACGATGCGCGTATGAGTTCTTGGAAGCATTTACGTGTGTATATACTATATATACTCGATTGATCAATGAACTAATCAAAAAATTGACTGAAAGGTATTTTTTGGAATATTTTCTCAATATCTTTGTTGTGTTAGAGACTTATTTATGTTTAAAAATTTTTTAATTTTGTCAATTATTAAAAATAAATAAAGCTTCTCACGTAAAAAAGGTACTGAGGATATATTAAAAAAAAAATACTTTAAATTAATTTTTGCAATTCTTATTCACTCTATTAACAATGTCACAAATGTGACATATTATGATAAAAAATTAATTTTCTGTGTGTATTTATTATCATTATGTCTTACAATTAGGCACAAGCATAATTAGGTATTCATATTGACTACAGATTCTCGCGAAATTGTAGAATGATTGCAGAATGAATGCTTATTTAATATTTCGCGATTTCTCGCAAACGATACCTAAAATTAAAAAAAATTTTTAAATAAATAAAACTTACAAAATAAGAGGCGATTTGAGAATCACAATTAGGTTTTATATAGCGATAACAATACTTTCTTTCGTGAGATCGCGCTTGTGAAAGGTTTTCGCAAACACTTACCGATATTCCGGCGAAGGGCAGGCTTGTGCCACGCAGACTAATGACGTAGATTCGTCTTGGGCGACATGAACGACGCCGGAGTTTTCGAGTATCACGGGAGGCATTACGCCTCTGTGATCTGTGAAGCAGAATGCAGAAAACTCGATGCGTCACAAGCGTTTCCCAGCGATGTGTGCACAGTAGTTTCTTTTAAAACTTATCGACGTTACCGAGACTCACCTGCTATCCTAATGTTGGCCATAGTGCTAACGACCACTTGTCTCGTGAGACGGTGCATCGTACGGCATCTATAGCCGTTCAGCTGGTCGCTGAACTCGAGGCTGTGTACCAGAAGCTCTCCCGTGGGAAGCAGGTGGAACTTGCCATCTATAAAATGTAGCGATCGAAAGCCATCATGAAATGTCAAACGTATCGAAAGAAGATCGCACGGTATACAGGATGTTATATATAGAGGATGTCCTAGAAAACTTACATAAATAGTAAAATATTTTCTATCAACTTTTGTTTATAGAGACTTATATAGTTTGTCTTGAAATATTAAGACGTAATTTCTCGGCAAATGTTTATTCTGACGATAAAAAATAGATATAAATTCGCGAAAATATTTCTGACTGATAAAAATTTTACAAATGTGTAACATTCTGTATATTATGCTATACATATATTTTAATTCCATTAAATTATTAATTAATCCTATTTTTTCTATTTAATATTATATTTTGTGTTTCGCAATTAGTCGCAAAATTCGCGAGCCGGAAATGTTTCGGTAGAGTTCCGCTCAACGTGCATGAATAATACACGACTTCCTAATCCCGTTGTATTATTCATATCGAATGAATGTGCGGCAGCAATAATTGGGATCAATATTTTCACGATTAAACCGCGCCAGCATTATCCTTAACAATCGCGATAACGCCACACTCTGCCGGATTACGATATTTTTGGAGGACACGATTGTACTCGCTTGCACGATAATTACGCTAATTCCGTGGTTTCATCCTTGTCTGATCTGTACGTGACATAGGAGTACCCCGTTCTTGCCCCAAACTAAACTCAAGGTTTCCTTAGATAAGCCCGGGTACGACGCTTAACGACCACAATTATCCTAAACAGTTCGCCCTAGAAACTTGAATCTTTTTGAGATCTATGAATCCGTGATTAGATTGCGCGCTTAATTTTAGTACGTGCAATGTTAAGTATACGTTGTATATAAATATATACAATACGAGAATTGCAAATATGAATATATCCGATTAATATCAAAATTATTCTAATTTTTGCTGTGCAAAATAGAAGTGCGAAATAAAGTTTAAATGTATGCTTTCGTAAGAGTTATTTTTATTTTATTTTGTCTTATATTGATTTCAATAATTAATGTTGTTGTAAATTGAAAGAGAATATCTAAAATGCAAATGAAAAATATAATTACAGAAATATTTAATACTGAAAATTAAAGAGCTTGTTAAAAAAACAAACTTGAAAGATTAATTATTTCTTCGGAAATTTTGGGAGTTTTGTTTAATATCGCAATGCATTGTGTGAAAATGCTTTGATAAAAAGAATTCACTTTTAATTCGTCACAGAGTTTGTTATCACAATATTTTTCGGTAGGTTTTGATAGCGCGCAAAAATCCTCTATGCATTCAATACAAAATACAAAATAAAAACAGAGACGACAAAATATTTTTGCGTTTACTTAGGAAGATATTTTGTGTGGTTTATACTCTTACCGAGGTATATCGGTTATATACATGAATACTCACTGAAACATGATAGAATAGGCTAAGAGCAGCAGCTGCGAGATAAGGCAGCCTTCTGAATAGATTGCCCGCCAAATCAGGTGGACCGAATGGTCTATGTAGTTTAGGTATTACATTCGACAAAGAGCCTATAGCCACGTGATTCCATTCAAGATGGATACATGTACATGTACGTGCGCGTAGATAAGCCGAGTTATATATAATGCAGCGAATTACTAACTCTAACTGATATCGACACAATCGCGACATTGCATACGATGTGAAAAATGTTCGCGCATAATATATAAAAATTATTACATTGAAATGACTGTTCTAATTATAATATTGGAATTATTTTGTTGCACTCTGAAAAAAATGGCTAACTTGACTAAACCTTTAACTAAATATAATATTTTGTTTGAACATATAAAAATATTTAATTTAAATATAACATATTAAATCTAACGTGCATTTGACTTAAATACTAATATATATATATATATTCAATTAGCAAAGTATATAGTAATTTAGTTGAAAGGTTTAGTCAAGTTAACAATTTTTTTCAGAGTCCAATATTTACAATTGATTAAGATGACTCTCTTTTAGAGATTGCTATGCTCTTATAAAGTTTATAAGCATTATTATACGGTGGTACAGGCACAATATTCTTGTTGTAATTAGAATTTCAACTTAACGATTGCTAATTACGACTATTAATAAAATTGCGGAACGCAAAGTGTTTAATTAACATCTACAACTCTTCTCTATCTCGTGTCCTCTTGTGTATGCAATTTTCTGGGAACGACTCGGCGTTTACAGCAAATCTGATTAATCTCTGCGTGCTACTAATGAACGGATGTTCTCGGCGAGGTCGGCGTCCCCGACAATCCCGAATCGTGCATCTCGCTCCGTGCATTGCGGAAGGAGAGACGCCGCATTATTGTGGATATTAAATTTCAGCGGCGAGCGTCCGCGGCGGATATTAAATTTTAGTTCTCGCAGGCAATGGCCACATGGCCGAGTATAACATCGCGTACCAGTGACCGCGCTAAAATCGCCTCGTATTGTCACTATCGCATATATAATTCTTTTTTCGTTATTCGCCCACTGTTATCAGCAAAAATCCGAAATATTTTCCAGGTTCGTATCAGTCTTTGTGGGCACAAAGGCTCGGTTAACGAAGCTATTCGGAGAGCCAGTTATATTTCATTAAACTGGGAATATTTGAATATATTTATAAAAATAAAAGTTAATAAATATTATATTATATATTCAGTAAAATTTATTTTTAGAAATGTATCTAAAAGTTTCTAATATAGTATATATGTATGTTATATATAATACTACTATCCGTTATTTTATTTTCGTGACGCGACTTAGTTCTTATTAATATATCTTGCACATTGCGGAATCGCAAAAATTAATTTTTCTACAAATAATCTTTTCCGCGTGAGATCAATTATTATCACTCGACAAATCACTTGTATGCGGATATAAAACATCACGCATTTGAAATTATTCAATTAGTTAATTTTTTCCATCACAAAGTATTTAAAGTTTTGCGTTTTCGCATATTAAATAATACGTCCATCCGTGTAGCTAGATAAACATTTACCTCCTTGTAGCGAGGGATATATGTAGGACGAAGGCTCATGTAGCCAAGATACGACGCGCACCAAATCTTTGACATAGCTAGGTATGATGCAGCGTAATATCGCGGTACATCCCCTCGATGCTCCCCCTGTCACCTCCACGTCGACTTTGTATGCTTGAGCCACCACTGCAAACAGTAATAAAATTTTGCATAAAGCCATGTGTTTCAGCAATCGTGTACAAATTGCAAAGAACGACTTACGTAACATATGAATTTTACTAAACCTCTTTGCTTAATAACAGAGATTGATATCTTATGAAAAGAAACATATTTTTATATTACACGCCAAGTTTATAATTATAACGATATAATTTTTCCTGATTTTTTTTTGTGGGGAGGAAGCTTTTTAATTATATTTTACCTTTCAAAGAAAATGTATTATTTTTCTCATAAAACTCCAACGTTTTATAAGAGGTCGGTGCTATACAAAGGATTACCATTATGTCGAGCTACACCGCAATCAACGCAACAGGAATTCTCGTGTGTCTGTGTCTCTCTAATTGCCATCGTAATGAAAAAGCAATCGCAGTCTTACTCCGACAGTCTCGTTTTCAATTACATCGCGCACCGCCGCCGTCGTCGTCTCGCTACATCGTGAAAGCGCGTTGTCCCTGTGTGTACGTACACTATGCACATACGCAGACGGGGTGTCGCGCACACGTCGTTACGACGCAAGCATCGGATGAATCTCGACGTCGCTCGGTGTCGGGGATGCGCCGAGGCATGAGGCGACGCGAGAGCGTATAACGAACGCCTCGGCGTCGTCCTCAACGCGTCGCTTCGCTCCTTCCTTTTCCTTTTTCCGTCCGTCGTCGTCGTCGTCGTCCTCTCGCGCTCTCTCGAGAAGCATGCACCGTATTCTCTTTCCGGAGATTTTATTTACGTGGAAATTCCAAGGGCGACGGCCGGCTCTACCACCAACGGTGCAGTCTGACAGGCCGACGTCGCGACGCCGAGAGACCATCCCCATCCCTCCTTTTTATCTCCCTCCCGTCCGGTTACGAATTCCTTCGTATATACGGAACCTCCCCCGGATCGCGCAAGGACTTTGTCTCGCGTTTTTCTCCTCAGCTTCCTGATTCTTCGCTTCTTCCGCTCGCATGCCGCCGTTTCCTCCATACGTTTTGTGACGCCCGCGAGAATGATCACGTTGGATCTCGATAGCGACACTCGGGGATTTTTTTTAGAGAGGTTGAATTTATTCTGCGCAAGATGTGTGATGATAAATTTTGGATATTATTTTAGAGTGGTCCGGATATAAGATTTATATTTCTTACTTTAAAGTTCTGAACTCTCAACGTGTATAATTATTTCGCGTGCGCTCTGTATATTCATATATACATATAGATTTTTGAAAAATGTTTCCCTTTTTTTTTTTGCAAAAATTATTGCAACAGCAACTTTTAACGCAAATCATCCGCGTAAAGTACGTCCGTTTCATCGAGCGCGCGCGCACGCGGGATAGAAATTTCTTTCGTTAACCCAAAGAGCAGGAAGTAAAGTTTTAATTAACGGTCACACGTCCAAGCCAGAACTTTATGGCCGCGAGGGGTTAGTTGAAAATCCTGAAAGCGCCGAGTCGACCTCGCAGCTGCCACGGATTTGCATTCAGATTGCGCTTTTTTTTTTTAAAGAGGTAATTACACCGCGCGCACTGCGCGACCGGAAGAGAGATCTGCTCGCACCTCATCTGCATCGGTCGGCGAACCTCGTTCAGCTCTAACACGCCTGTTTCACACGGGTGCGGGACTTTGTCCTTTCGCGCGATCGGCGCTTCCTTTCCGCACGAACGATTGGATTGTGTTCGCGTGTGAAAACTACCATTTAGAGGAAATGTTTCTCGCGGTGAAACAGCTCTACGGAAAACAATTGGGAAATATTACTTTCGAACCGCCACATGATAATAGTGAAACCGTTAAAGGTTACGATAATGACGGTATCATTTTGCGAGACACGATACACTTAAATTTCGTTGTGAAAATAACTAGTTTTAAATTTTCTAAAATTTTTTCACAAGTAAAGAATTAATATATTGATACATTTTTCAGTCGAGAAAGAAAAATAAGTTATCGAGTTTATTTTTTATTTTTCAATTTTATCGAAATGCATTGTCAATTATTTCTTTAAGTGGAGTTAGAGCAATGTCATATAAATTCTTTTGTACAATGCCATTGTAATGTTTTTGCGGCAATCCAATTGCATTCGGACGTATGCGATGCGAACGTTCGCGGTCCGATTGTGGCCTGTGTGAAACCGGCCTATCCACGATTCCGCGTTTTATCGCACGTGAGAGGCCACCCCCCTTCTCCTCCACCCCCGCCCCTTCCATCCGCTCTACTGTCGCAATTACTGTTGACTCGCGCCAAATATTCGCGGCATTCGCGTAATCCGCTTAATAGACTTTTCCAATGACCCGGCCGCGGGCAAAACTCTAATATGACGGCTATTCCGATTACGCGTTTGGCGTTCCTTAATTAAAGGATACCTCGGTAAATAACGAATGTAATTGCGCAGGCGAGCGGCGCTAATAACAAAAGTCGCAATGTTATCTTGTAAACGATTCCACAACAAGAATGATAAAACGTTCGCGGCGCTTAATGGTAATTGGATTCGCGCAACAAATAGATGAAAGAGAAAGTTGCTTCATAATAATCATTAACTCTCCCGGTCTTCATTTTTGCGTTATTTATATATGTACTTTACGCTATTATGTAACTCACAAAAATTATATAACCATATTTTATGTATATTAAAAATAGAACTTTTTTCATTCTTGATACACGGAGAGAATTTTTTCTTAGAATTTATTCTGCGAAAATCGTGGAAATCGCGCGAGATAATATTTTTATAAAAGTTCCTCCGATTAATATTCACCGCAATAAAAATATTACAATGTATACATATATAGTATAATCAAATTAATTGAACATAGTTTATATATATCTTATTGTGATAAATATAATCAGAGAAACTTATAAAATTCTTCCAATACCGATAAAAATTGTCCCACGATTATCATGTGATATTGAGGGTAAATTCTAAGAGAAAATTCTCTCTGTGTAGCGTTTGATGAATTTGATAATTTTCGACACCCGAATTTTGTGCTCACCTGCTCTGACTTGTACATCGCGACTGAGCACTCTGCCGACCGGATTGCTCGCCACGCATCTGTACGCGGCGCTATGAACGTCCTGTCGATAGGCCGCGGCCGGAAACGGCAGAAGCACCAGAGTACCATTTCTGAGCACTCTCCGCACGCCCGACACATCGTTCACCGGATGCCCGTCCGCGGTGGACCAGTCGATGTTGGGCGGCGGACTTCCGGAGGCCGTGCAATCCAACCAGGCGCCGCTGGAATTCGAGAATTCGATCCTCGATGGCGGTTCCAGCACGAAACTAGGGCCGCGTAAATGCGCGTCGAAGCCGTGCCCGCTCGCGGACGTTACTATAGCAGCTGCACCTGCAAAAAGAATCGTGTTCTCTTATGAGATAAGATTACGATATTCCATAGAGAATTGTTTTTTTTTAAATATATATTGGAATCGAGGGGTAACCACTAGCTAAAATGTTGTCCCACAGATTGCATGATTTCATTTGATTTCATGATTTCATCTAATTACAAACGATTTCATCTGATTACAAATGATTTCATCTGATTACAAATGGATTTTTTCATTACATATGAAATCATTTCATAAAAGTAATGATTTCATTTGATTACACAATGCATTTTCGTGATTGCACATGTAATCATTTAGGATTTTATGTGACACATACAATTATAAATAGCATTTTATCTTGAATTTGATCGCAATTTACTACGGAAAGTGCTCGTGCCACACATGATTTCATCACAGATTTCATAATGATTACACATGATTCCAATGATTACACGAAAATTCAAAATGATTTCTGCTGACTACATATGATTTCATTATGATTTCTAATGATTCCGCATGATTTCATTTGACTTTATCAATTACATCTGATTGCAAACGATTACATGGGATTTCATAAGGATTTCATAAGGATTCATATAATGATTTCGGGGACACTGTCCCACGATTACATTAAGTGGTTACCCCCTCGATTGGAATCTATAAAGTTGCGAGACGCAAATACAGACACTCACGCGCACATATATAGCTGGGGAGATTTCGATATTTCTATCTCTATTCTTCGGTGAACGTTAACGGACAGATTCAATATAACACGATAGATATGAGAGATACGAACTCGTAATACACGACAGACGTTGTGCGAGAATACTTGGATCAGTATTGGAAGGCCGGAAGTGAGGGATATCACGTTGACGGCCAGTCGTATCAAGCGGAAAACAGTTTGACAAGTTCCAAAGTGGATTAATCAACGTGCTTAGCGTGCCTAGTGTCGCCGATCGAACGGTGCCGTTGCAACCAATACGTCGGGCAAGTTATTCTCCTCGTATAGTGCGGTGCGCGCGCGAGGCGAGAGACACCCACTTCTCGGGCGTAAATGCTTTGATCGGGGGCGTGAAAGCATGAGTCAGCAACTACTTGCAGGCTCCTCTCTTGTATCGTTAGCGGGCGCCCGGTTATTAACTCTCTCTCTCTCTCTCTCTCTCTCTCCTCTCTCTCTCTCTCTCTCTCTCTCTCTCCGCCACCCAAGCTGCATCCTTCGTGTCAATGTTATGGCGAAATTTGCTACGAGTCATAGGAGTCGCGATAAATTTCGGCCCGTTCGCACAGTTAGCCTACATAGCCCGTGTGCTTAAACTTTGAACTGCATTGATTAACTCTCATAACTACTATTATTCGGATAAATCATCGTCTCGGCCTTGTAATTCATACACTCCTATAAATTATCTCGATATTCGGATATAATCGTTATCGATTTATAAACGTTGCTATCTATTTAATTCTTCGATATATTGATTTTGAATTTATAGTCTGTATTAATTTTTTGGTTTAAATCCATGTCGCTATTTTTCTCTATCAGTTTATAATTGCGCTATCTATTTGATTCTCCGATACATTATTTTTTGATGCATTATTTATAGTCGGTATTAATTTTTTGGTCTAAATCCATGTTGCTATATCAATCGCTATCAATTTATAATCGCGCTATCTATTCAATTCTCCGATACATTTGGAATTTATAGTCAGTATTAATTTTTTTTTGTTCTAAATTTATGTCGCCATTCTTAAAAGCTCGATTAAACTTTCGCGAGCCAACTTGCATTTGTACCTTTCAATACTCGCAATTAATTTAGAAACTGATAAACGTTAAAACAAACGCAGCTAATTGCGCTGATTTACAATTTAAATTGGGTAAAACGGAACGGGTATTTCCTTCTCCTTCTCTTCCCTTCTCAATACTATACCTATAGAATATCTCGATCGCGACAAGATGCGGGGTTCGGAAAAACGCGAAACTCGTAACGACATTCGCGCCCATTGTAATTCGTTTATAACGACGTTCAGAGAGAGAGAGAGAGAGAGAGAACGCGCAGGGCGAGTATTTCGACCGAATTTTGTAATGCTGTCGCGCGTGCATTGCATTGCATGCACGCAGCATACAAAGTACAAAGTATGCAAATCGATGTGCGCAAGAGAGACAGAGAGAAAGAGAATTGAAATCCTCCATCGTCCGGTGGTGTCCGGCAATTACGTTCGTCGTCACGCCGGCCAGTTTCCGGGAATTCTCTCTCTCTCTCACGCGCGCGCGCGCTACTTAATTACTAATTCCGCGCGAGTATTACGCTGACGCAGGCTCTCTCTCTCTCGGGCGGAATTCCGCGCGTCGCTTCGCCCAAGCGACGTCGCGTCGATTTTCGAAGGCGTCGCATCGGCCGCCTTAATTGGCAGAAAATTAATTACACATTGTGTACACGCATTCGACGTCGTTAACTAGAAATTCAATCGGACGGATTGCGCCAAAGAGAGAGAGAGAGAGAGAGAGAGATTATCACTTTTAGTAATTTACGACGAGCGGGAAAGAACTTGAATTTATTTTTATATTTATAATAGAAAAATGTAATATATGCACGTCGAGCGTATATTCACGTGAAAATTCTTGCCGGATGAGATATTTCGTTCACAACATCTTTCCATGTTTATCCAATTCAACGTAGCATCGATTTCTATGCTTCTCCGTGTGACCTCATGGAGATATTTCGAAACATCTATACAAATCTCACTGCGCACCTTAGCTGCTGCACAGGTCGGATTCACGTCAACATCCCGCTTTTATGACGCGTCCTCGTAGAGATTTACCTATTGACGTGGAAAATTGAGGAGTTCGATGGAGACCGCGTCGCGAGCGAGGGAGCGCTAGTAAGATTGAACATACCGGTAGATGCTCAAAGTGACTGGTCGAAGCGACAGAGATAGACGAATAGAGCTGGTCAGCAAGTAGGAGGTATATAAACGGAAACCCGAAGGGAATATGAACGCGGTTGAGACAGAGAACGAAATAGAGAGTGAGAGAGAATGAAGAGGATGAGGGAGATGCAGGTGTTGGTGGGTAATAGCTCCCTATTACCATAACGCTCAGCTAAGCCGGCTAATCGGTTCCGCTTATGCCGATCGGCAAATTATTAATCACATTGCGCGTAGATTATATGCGTCTATGCCGCGGTGGCATTTGCACTTCGCACCGCGTTTACCAGTCGCAGTCGCACGGGCTTTTAGTGTCGCGTATTTATCACGTTTGACACGTTTGATTTTTCAGGAGAATAATGTATGGTAGATGCCGAACTCTGCGGAATTTTGCGTAATTTTGCGTAGCCACCGATAAATTATCTTTAAAATGCTGGTCGTATCTTTTTTTTTTTTTTTATAAGCGCGAATGATTTATTTCCATTTGTTCTCTCTCTCTCGGGACTACTTTGATGTTTTATTCTAGTTACATACGTACTCATAAAATTCAATTATTATATATATATATATTATTATTACACAAATCAATTACAATTCAATTTTCGCAAAAGTAATTGATGCGTGTATGTAGGATTGATGTACTATTTAATGTACCTATATTTCATTTTATGCGAGTGCGTAGTTTAGTTTGATAATTACATAAAATTCAATGACTGTACTTTTTCATATACAATGGTAACACCTCATTAGATTTTGTTTATTATTTAAATACAGATTAAAGGAGATATCTTTTTATTGAAATTAATCTTTACAAAATGAGTGTATCCGTTTCGAGCTTAAAGAATTTTTAAATTTTCAACAAACCTTTCACTTAAGATGGGAAGTGTATAAATTTGAAAACACTGAAAGAACTATTAGATATGGGAATCTCGGCTCGCGGTCGTTCCTCTTGGGAGACTCTCTCATGGTTCTTCTTCGGTCAGTCTCCGAAATCCGAACACAAGCGGGATTTCTATCATCTGCCTGGATTTTGCTCTCTCACCACGAAGCATTCGAATCGGTGGGTTCGGTAAAAGGAGCTCGTGCTACGAACCAGGAATCAATAGGCGGAACAAACTGTGTAGGTGGGTAGAGGTCTCCGGTAAGATTGAATTTGCAGACTGCCTCTCCGAGAGTTCTCGACGAGGGGCGAATCCCGGAGAAAAGGTGGAGGCCAACATCGGGACTTGATAAGAGTTTACGATCTCGTACGACGGCGGTTTTCTCCTCGCACTAACTTCCATATCTTTCCTCTTTTTTCGCTCTGCCTCTCCTCTCAAGAGAACTCCCGATGTTTGCTCTGCCTATCAAGACGGCAATTATTTGATCCGGCTAGTGAAATGTATCCCTTGAATCTTTTCCTTAGTGCTTTTCTTTCTGTTCACTAGTTCGAGAATGATCATCGGAATTTAATATACAATACGGAGAGAAAGATCTCTCTCTAGATTTTTTTTTCGAAAATGTGATTTTGCTTAATATAATAAATATTAATGATTCAACATTTAAGTGCCATTTACACTATATATTGACTTGAATAACTAAAATTTAATAACTTTGAAAAACTTAAAAATAGCAGCAATTGTTAAATATGTAAGAGAATAATTGAGAAAGAGAAACACCGAATTTTCTAGTTTTGAATATTATAATTTATTATTATTAAATTTTTGTTCCATATATTAAGAAAATAAAATGCCGTTTTCTTGAAAAATCCAGCAGAGTAGTCGAATTTTCATTTCCTTTTAGAACATAACAAACAAGAGTAGTAGAGACTAAAGACGACATCGATGCCCACGGGAAGTTTAGAAATTGATAGAATCGGTGATAGTTTGCACAAAAAGAGGGAGTAAAAGGGAAGGGCACAGAGGTGCGCAACGAGTTATTCTTGCCTTCGTGTAAACGCAAGTCGAAGTCGAACACTGCAACAAGTTGAGAAAGTTGTTTAGACGCCTCGGAACGAGACGGAGATCGCTCCTGAAAAACTATGGCCGTGCAGGGACACACGGGCAATTTTCCAGCTCGTGCGGAAAGTTTCCGCGGCGGGCAACAAGTTGAGAAAGTTTCA